AATCAAACCAGAAGGTTGGGGGAGAAAAATGACCTAGAAGGTCAGATTTTTAGGAGAGCATTTCCACTTGAGGTGGTGGCACTTGAAGACAGAATGAATAGCAAACTGTATTCAGGGAATGAAAGGGTCCATACAGGAGATGACTGAAATAAGAGTTCAGAAAAATGAGAAGGAACTAGATTTCATTTGTTTCTTTTCATGTGAATGACTTTTCCCTTGATCCTGAAGCTTGATCAGGAAGCTATAGAACGATTAAACAAGGAATGATAATATTTATTTAATGAATCAATTGAACAAATTATCCCTTCTTTGCAAGTCATACTCTCAAAGAGGCAAATTTGGGCTTTGGGTGTCCTACATAATACCTATTAACCAGCTACTGGGTATTTGGAAATTGTTGACAACCATTTTGGCCAAATGTTGCTGCTCATTTTGCAACATGTAGTTTAGCCTGGTTTTGCTGTTCACTCTGACTCATGGACTATGCATGATAACATTCAGTTTCTTTTTGGTTTCCAACATGCTTAGGTTACTGTAATGATTATAATTTCAAGTCATCTTTCGACATGCATGCCAAACACTGAGTCCTATTGAAACAAATATAAAGCGAAGTGCAAGACTGTGAGAAGAGTTTTTTGTGATATCCTGGAGATATATAGTTGGCTAAATTTATGTGATTTGATTGATTTGGAAAAATTGTTTGTCCCCGTCTCCTTTTTTTGTTTTTTTTTTTCAGTACTTGGCTCTGAACACAGGGACTTCATATTGCATCCATTCCAATAACTCCTGATTTTTTCTTAAGCACATAGCTCTAACAGACTTAATCTTTCCTGTGGTTTTGTTAGTCTTACAATGGCAATTAATTATATCATTTAGTAGTGAAGAACATTAATGGTAAGAGTTGATATGGAGGGTAGCATATGAATGAAATAAAAAGCTTTGGCTTTAAGTTAAAAGTATTATCAATTTATAAGTAATGTCAGTAAGATTTATTTTTTAATAAAAATGAATAGAGCTTTTATTTATAGTTCCTTAAAAGCAGATTAGATATTTCCTCTTAGCTATAACTGCTTATAAAAGACTTTCTTTAAAGAACTTGTTATTATTATTATCATCATTATTATAATTATTTTTACTCAACACAGAGATTAGTTGCCTTTTCCTAGATAATGGCCTGAAATTTTAAGCCACTTACATATTTTCCCAGTACCAGGTAATGGCCCACATTAAGAGGTAATGTTCATTGCATTAAGGCCAATTTAACCAGGGGTATTGAATCTGTATGCCATAGTGGTAGAAGCACTGAACTACGAGTCAAAAAGGTTCTCATAAGAATATTACAGATGTGAAGTTGAGCAAGCTAAATTATATCATTCGTATTAAAGTTCCTCACCTAAAATTAGATACCGAATAGACAACCTTGCTAGTCCTTTCCAGATTCAATAGTCCATTTTTCCACCTCAATCTAATTCACTGTCACTTTGCAAAAACCTGTTAAAGAGTTAAGGCCATTTAAAAATTAAGTAATGCCCTGAAACACAACTCTTCATGCATTCAGTTTAAAAAACATTTAGTGACCTCTTAATGCACTCAAAATATTGCCCTATGAGAAGAAGCACAAAGTTTAAGTTTAAATATACACAAATAATTCTTATAAGAAGAATAGCATAAAAAAAAGAATGGCCTCATGTTATAGGAAAGATAAATACACAAATATCCACACTAAGGCAAGTATTAGGCAAAACATGATATAAAGACAGGGAACAATTAGAACTGACAAAGTATTAATTCTATCACTGATATACTCTAACAAAAAATAATTACATTTATGTCCTTCACTACTATATAATTCTTTATTATTATTGTTTTTAATGTATGTCTATGAATTTAATGTGTATGCCTATGAATTTCTTGATGTAAGAGTAATAAATATTTGTTGTAGACATTTTATAAAAAACAGACAAAAGATGACAATGAAAATGATATTTCATCTCGTAATCTAGGATATTGAGAGCTAATATTATACTGAATTCCATCTAGTTTATTTCCATGCTCATATTTAGTTTTCTTGTAATGGACATTTTTTTCATTGAATATATCATGACTATTTTCAGTGTCACTGAAAATTATTAAATAACATGATTTTTAATGGCTGAATGCATTCTATTATGGGAGAATGTAATTTACTTTGCCAGAAACACTTTCCTGAGGTTTAGCCATTTATGTTAATTCATTCATTTATAAAATATTTTGCAAGCATTACCCCATGCCACAAACTTTTTTGGTGCTGAGACTATAGAATAAGCAAAATATAATAATGTGACGGCAAGTAAAATCAACTGATTCCTCCTAAAGGATTTTACTAAGGCCTTTCAAGCTTCAAAATTAATCATTAGACCCTCTACAAAGAGGTTCAGCTTACTTCCAAATCTCTGGAGTTGGCAGAGGACCACACTGACTAGTCCCAGAGGATTCAGGTCCAGGCTAAAGAGCAGCCATTGTGCCTACTCCACCCAAGTCTTTGCTGAAAGAATAACCCTTATGTGGCCTTGTTCTGTCATGATTTAGAAGGAGATTGGGGATAAGCCTAGGGGCAGCCATTTCATAGATATTCAGTTAATCTCATACATGGACCAACAGGATTACATCAGAAGTTTTCCATATTACATATCAACTCTATTTCTTAACTACTGATTTCTTCATCATTTTATAGTTTCTGAGTTAAACTTCCAAGCAAGAGAATTCAGTTGGCCCAGGTCACCATTTTGAGTGACCCCATGTTAGTCTTGGCCTGCTATGAAACTAGTTTAACAAAAACTTTACTCAAGCATTTAATTTTACTATGAGAATTTATAGGAAAGATACCACTTCTCCTTACTCCATTCTGCAAGGCAGATAACCCTAATGATAGCGGATTTCCTTATGGCTAGGTTGGCTGATTTGAAATATAGACTTCTTAACCACATGTTCACACATAAATAGAGCTGCATCCCAATACTGGACCTGGTATACAAGATAAAAGGCTTTGTATTCATTGTTTATCTTATGGTACATGATGGGATTTATCACTTATTTTGAGTCCAAAGGTCTATTTGAAAGTAATTCCCTTCTGAAAGTTTTCTGAATCAAGAAAAACAATTTTTCAAACTTTTTAAAACCCTTTATTCCTAATGGATGTCTTCATCAAGATAATACAATTGCCAAATATTGACAAAGACCTCAACAGCAACAAGAGTTTGTTCAGCTAGACTAAATTAGTATCCAAGATTAAAACAAGCTTTCCTATATGAACTTTTAAAGTAATTTGTTTCTAATTAATGAAAAATAGCATTTCTTATGGGGGTGAAATTTTTAATATAAATTCACTGCACATGAATGATCTGATTTTGAATTTCTTTCATGTTAAATAAAATTCATTTGTTTTAGAAAATCCTGAAATAACACTATTACCAGGAATCATCAAAGCAACTATTAGTTAAAAAAATTATAGTGGTTCAGAGTCCTATTTTTTCATGATGAGAAGAAATGTAAAATATCAGAATTTTGTGGGTCATAAAGGGTCTTAAACTGAAATGGTAGCATTTTAAAAGTGTTTTAACTGAGTCAAGACACACAAGCTTATATATCTGTGCTTTGTCATATATGAGAAAGTATTCATAATTAAAGGGAAAAATAAAAGATAGATAATAGGAAACAGGGATATAAGTCTTCAGTTCATGGACAGGCATACCTGTGCATTATTAGCTGAAGTAAGAAAAAAAAAAGAGAAAAAAGCCCTATGATATGACTTAAAAGACATTTCAATAAAAAAAAAACTGATAAGTTAGGAAATCAGGTTATTTCTGTTGTTCAAATTCTAATTATTTATATTTTGGGGATCTCAAGGTTGATAAATGCCATATTTTTGCTATTCTTTTATTTTTTGGTACTGGGGATTAAACTCATGTTCTTGTGCTTTCAAGGTAGGGGGCAGAACGACTGAGCCACATCCCTGGCCCAATGCCACATTTTTATATGATCTCCAGTTTTGAATACACTTGAAGATTTCTTTTGAAGAGGAGTTACCTATATTTCTAGGAGCTAAAAAATTCTAGAAGCTAAAAATACAGTTATTAAAACAGAGTAAATAACAAAAGTACTTGTGATTTTATTTGTAGGCCTGTACAATTAAGGTCAAGAAAGGAGTCTTTCAAATTTTATTCAGATTATTTCTATCTTATCCTGGTAGAATTTTTTGGAGGAGTGCTTTATCCTGATTATTGCTAATGCCAGGGGCAAACCCATACATCTGATAAATGAATTTAGCTTTCTTTTTTGTTAGTGATTTTTCTCACAGAAAATTATTTTCCTTATATACCTTATTTCAATTAGTTCTTCTTTCCCCATACAATTTTATACTACTTGCCTCAAGCAAAAATAAGAGCAAATGGTTCACTGAGTGTTGATACATAAGTATTAAGAACTGAATGAGGAAGAGCAGTAGCCCATTAGAACGGGCTTCTCTGTTACCCAGGCAGGAAATAACATGAATGTAGGAATAATGACTGTATTTAGTTATCGCATTCCTTTCATTTATATTTATAAAAATATAACTATTTCACCTATATCTTAAATAGAAAAAGGAGCAATAAAGCTAATGATTGCTTAAGAAAAAAACAAAACCACCCCATCCAACTGCTTCCCAGCAGAAATAGGAGAGATTTGTAGGTGAAAAATCTTGCTCTTCACAAAAGCAGGAATCTTTAAATTGTGTTCACTTTCCAATGCAGAAAAGGGTTGGCTGGAGCACTCCCCCATTCTACCATTAAGTTCACCATGTTGCTGTTGCTTGTACAATAATATGTCTTCATTTCTAGATGCTTCATTCAGTTTCTACTACTGTTTTAGAGCTGCAACTTCATGCTGAAATGGCTGAAAACCAAACCCTAGCCTCTTCATCAGGGTGATTTTCATGTGTTCTGTTATTTTTCATTGTTTGAAGAAAAACTCCAAGTACTTACTGGGTTGAGTACGACTGTGAAGAAAAGTTCACCTCCTTGAATACTTTTGTCCAGCTCTTTAGGGCCTCCTGGATATTCTTTGTAGAAAATTGTGTGAGTGAAAAGGCCACAGGTCTGTCTTGGAAGAACCTGAAGGAAAAATGTACAAGAGAAAAGCTCCTTTCAACCAATTACTTTGTAGAAACTTTTTCTCCCATGAAAAATGGTTGCAAAGGTGTTATCATTATTTAACTCTAGACCTAGGAAAACCTCACATTGTTGGAAAGAGAGAATGAGATTAGTACAGAAGGGACCATGAGAGAAATTGCAAATATATCTTAAAACTAAAGTAGACTTTGTATTATTTATTACCACTTAAAATCTTAAAGTCAATGCTTTTGTTGTGAAACCTAAAATACTTTAGCATTTTAAGAAATAAAAAGTAAAAATAAGATTAAAATTAAAGTTAGATCGAAATTAACTGTGCTACACTGTAATCTTCATAAGCAAAAATATAAACAATAATACCTTCTGTCAAATTCTATACATGCTTTAGAAGATGAGGTCAATTACTAACTTAATGTGCCTTTTAGAAAATGACATTTAATTTAGAACAAATACCTAAAACATAAATCAAAGTATCTGCTTCAATCTAAAAGATGTAGTAATTGCTCAAAATTCTAAGTGTGAAGCCTGCCAGTTCCAAGAGTCCATAAGAGGTTATCCATTTGATAATTAACTCTTAGAATGGCTCATAAATAAAATGATGAATAGTCATTTAGTAAGTGAAAAGTCTTTTCATCCTTTGTATATTAACGCTCACTTGAATTGACAGAAAATCAATGAATATATTTTGGGAAACTACACAATTTTATCATCATACATAAGTAAGTCTGTTGCTTACTGGTATAAGCAAATAGATTTCCATTTTTATTGTTTTGATTCTTAAAGTACATTTGATTCAGGAAGCCTTTCAAAATATTACCTTTTCAGGACTTGCCTTATTTTGCAATCATCTACAAATATACTAGTTCTTTATTTTTAAAAGTTTGAAGGGTTGGAGATTTAGTTCAGTGGTTCCACCGCCTGCCTTGCAAGCAAGCACAGGGACCTGAGTTCGATCCCTGATACCAAAATAAATAAATAAATAATAAAATAAAATAAAATAAATGAAACATATATTGTAATAAATTTTTATCTAGTTCTTGGAAATTTTTCTCAGGAAACAATTCTCTGCTCAATCAATATATCATATTTCTGAGTAAATAAAAACTATGTATCCTATTTATTTTAATAAATTGGTAAAAGTTATACTGTAAGAAACTTATTTTAGTATAGTTCAAAGAACTTCAATCTAAATCATGGGATATTAGTTTTGTTTGAAAACATTAAACATTTTAAAAGCATTATACATTGTTATGCATAAGATCAACAACAACAAAATGTAGCTAAAAGAAATGGCATTCTAACTGAATTAAATATATTTTCTAACATGTCTTAAAAATGTCATTTTCTGGAAGTTAATGACTTATATAATATTGCTTCATTTAATTAACAAACACTCCAACTCCATGCTAGTCAGTGTGAGAATATGAAGATAAATGCTATTTACACTTGAAGAATTTAAGATATAGATTCAAAAGCTAAATAATAAAATGCCCACATATGATTAAGTGCCAGATTAGTGTTACATTTCAAAAGTACGTGACTCTAGCTAAATCACTTTTAGGGTTCAGTCTGATTGTCTTTTTGAAAAATTATACAATATATATAGAGCTGTCCTCAAAGCTTGGTGGCCCGGGTAATTTTCTAAGTGGAGATAGAAATCAAAAGTAATTTGAGTTTTCTCTCTTTTTTTTTTTTTTTTTAGTCTGATTGTCTTTTTGAAAAATTATACAATATATATAGAGCTGTCCTCAAAGCTTGGTGGCCCGGGTAATTTTCTAAGTGGAGATAGAAATCAAAAGTAATTTGAGTTTTCTTTTTTTTTTTTTTTTTTTTTGGTACTGGGGATCGAACTCGGGTCCTTGCGCTTGCGAGGCAGTCCACCAAACCGCTGAGCTAAATCCCCAGCCTGAGTTTTTTCTTTTTAAATTATTTAAGCTTGAACATAGCAAAGAGGAAATTGAGGCTTTACCCAGCAACTCCAGGAAGGACTCTTCCTCCTGAGAGTATAAGCATCATCATGAGAGGCAGAGGCAGTGCACCACTGGGTGAAGCAGTGGGCCACTCAGGAGATAAAATGCTGTAGGACACAGAACATACTCCTTCAAACAGCTTTCTCATACTAGAGAAGGAAATGAGGTTTTTTTTTTAGGTATTTTGCTGTGGACTATTCTGTAGATACATTTCTTGGAATGTAACACTATCAAATTTAAAGTTTTAGACCCTGATAAAACCTTGGAAACCTTATAGCTGCATGGTTATGAAAGCCTCCATCAGTAAAAATCTTGGCCAGTAGTACTTGAAGCAAGTATCTTGTAACTAAGGTTTCAAACTAGCAAAACTGTCAACAGTGCTTGTGGCTAGTAAAGACCACCTGGCACTGCCAGTAGGATTAGTGGGAGCCTCTGCCAATGGGCATCTCTAATGGCAACAGTTAGTAGAGAGTCAGAGTGTATCTGATTGCTCAGAGTCTCTGGATCTTCCCATAGATCATACACAACCGGGAACGAGAGGAGAGTTTCTGGCATTCCACCAATTATTTACTGTAGGAGGATAAAAAATTACCCCATAAAAAACACAAGACTAGAAGCTCAGAAACTTTAGGGTTAGGACTCAGACACCTTAAAATTCATGATTTTTATGTCCCAGGGAGAATTTAGGAACTCAGGAGAACAAGATAACTGCAGGCTGAGTTTGTTGTTGAACTGACATATACCAAGGTGCCTTACAGTAAATGATGTATGATATCAAACTTGGATATTGAAGAATAAAGGGTATGGAAATAGGTAGTTGCCAGAAAGTCATCCCAGGTGGAAAGAATGGTAGAAGTTCAGAAATAGCAATACTGTTATAGGCCTGTTTGGTTGGAGTGAGTGTATAAGCTGCACAGAAATGGAAGATAGTTAAGGTAGGCTTCATCCAGCTTGTTTTCAGGACCTGGAAGAGCACATTGAAGGGCATGGAAACAACTGTAACTCATAAAAGTTAGAAAGGTCAGCATGGAGGCAGCAGTATAGAAAGATTCAAAAGTTGGCATCATCTTTGGCACAGAAGGCAGTGGTAGTGGTGGGGTAGATAGAGGCTATGAATACACAACAAATTAGCACAACAGTTAACACATGAAAACAAAAGCAGTTAATTAAGATAGTGGTTGTGCTAAAAGCAAATGAAAAGATATAAAGAAGTTACTGATGGAATTTAGAGACTGATTTGAAATGTGGTCTCTATGTGATGTTTAAATTGCAGAACTGAACTGGGAATAGCAGAAGCAGCTGGGTTTTAAGGGAAGATAATGAGTTTAAGTCTTTTGAGTTTGATTTATGAATGGGCCATTAATTTTTTTTCCTCAGGTCATATAGGAAAAGACATGTCTGACCTAAGGTTTATACCTCAGTTCCTTGCTCATTTTTTTTTTTGCTGTCTGTCAGTAGGAGGGCACACTGGCTCTTGTGGTATCAAGCTGTATCTTTTTTGGGATGGCTTCTAGCCCTTTTTTCTCTCTCTCTTATTGAATAATCAAGTGCTTGCTGAACATTTCCTACTTGGAAATTTCTTGCATGCACTCACAAACCAAATATAGAGGCTTCCTATGCAAAAGTGGAACTACGAGGACACCCCTGTCAAAACAAGAAATCTGTGACTGCTTTTATTACTTGCAAGATTCATACATTTATAATACAGGTAAAATATTTTTTTCATGAGAAACAGAAACTCAATATATCTCAAGGGAAATATCCCAGCAAGTTTTCTGGCAGTACAAAAAGAGAAACAAAACAGAAAAAAACCTTGATAAAGTCTTTATGGACTTAAGTTGACTATTTATGAGTTCCTATTGTTTTAAGATGACAAACAAGCATTTGCCTGCTTGTTGTTACATAATTATTATATAAGGCAGGTCTTTAAAACTCTCTGGTCAGAAGGCTGACAGTTTACAGTATTGTAAGTTCATTTTCTTACTGCTCAGCCAAAGGACAAGCTGGGATAAAATGTGGCCATTCTATCTGCATCTAACATTTACAACATTGTTTTACTGAGGGAAAAGTCAAGACGTGAGTTGAGAGAAGTGAAACGTCATTATCCACTGTAATTTTTGCAGGCAGCAAACTGCAAGAAAAATCAGTTACACCTAATTCCAGAGAGTGGATATTTGCTCAAATCTATCATTTTGAGAGTTACTAGGAGGTCCATTACTGTCTTTCTAGTACTTTCCTTGGATTTTCTAGCTTGGGAAACATTAAGATTCAATTACTTATTTTGGGAGGTCTCACAAAGTTTTAGGTAGTAACATTATTTTGATAATATACATTTGCCACCTATGTAAAAAACAAAGCAAAACAGAAACACCCTGGAGAGAATTAGGCAATGGATAGAAATGATTTCATTGACATTATCTATCATCTGTTCTCTGTATTATCATCTGATAAGGATTATGTGGGACTGGACAGTCGGCTCTTTGCTTGCTATAAAAAGTTTAATTTTTTAGGCTGGCATAGTTAAAAGAATACAGTTTGATTGGCTTATATAAGGGTAAGTGGCTAATATAGGGGGAGGTAGATTTTTTTAACCTAGTAAATAAGTTTTTGAGGAAGTGATAGCTTCTAAAAATCCTCTGAAATTTTGATGTAACTTTTTTTTTTAGTATTTTCACAGCATTGCCAGCTAATCAGTACTGTCAGTTTAAAAAACATTAATTAGAACATCCTTTGCTTAGATATGACAAATATGCTTCCTACAGCATATTTGGCTAAAGTCAAGCTTTTAATTTTTTTGCTCTTCTTTTGTTCTTGCTTCAAGTGAGGAATATAAATCTAGCAGAATTAGGAATAATGGAGAAAGTTTACCATGATGTTTTTGTGGATGAAGCCCCTCCGATATCTAGCTGGTTTCAGATGTGGATATTCTTCAGTGCTGGTGATTTTAATATTCCAAACTTTCTTCCAAGCTTCGTAAAGCTGCACATGTACAGGGTAGACACCTGAATGGTGTGGGGCTACTGCATAGCCCATGTCAGTAGGAATGCCATGCTCCTAAGACCAAACAAACATCCGTTATGGGAAGATCTAAAGTGACTGTATTTTAACCCCAGGACTTTCAATTGTACTATTTCAAAAGTATACTTGTTTAGGAAATCTATCATTACTTATTCTTTGGCACGGTTAAAGGGATAGATATTAAGACCTCTAGACTTTTTGAAGCTAGGTAATCATTCAGCAGTACTGAACTTGATACATTTGTGTTTAAAAGGTGGGACAGACAATGTGCTGAACTCTTCAACACATTCTTTCAAAGCCACCTGTTTTTGTTTGCTCACAATTCAGTGAGTTGAATAACAAACATTTGCTTAGGAATGATATTCACCATATTACATGCAATAAAGCCAGTGTTTATTAGAGGAACAGTGAACATTGCAAGTTCACTAGGTTAGCTGACAGCATTTTATTGTTTGCTGCACAGGTTCCATCAAGTTTGCCACATTTCTGTTGATCCCTCAGCATATGTGGACCAGTAAGAGACAATGTTCCCTTTCTCAGGAGAAGTACCCTTTTGACTGGATAATGTAATACAATTCTGTAAACCAATTTTCTTTGGAGTTGAAGCCCTCATAATGGAAGTAGAAAGTATTGAAAAAGCCAAATAATGGAAAAGGAATCCAGTTTTTTAAAAAGTTTCAAAATTACACACACACACACACATACATACACACACACACACTGTACTCATGGAATAACTAATCAGGGGCTGCAGTGTTTTTTATTTAGTTGGATCTGCTTAAGTTCCGTCAATTCTAGAATAAACCTATGTGAAATCTTGATCACAGTGGTGGGAGCTCAGGACAACTTTGTATTACGGGAACTGTCCTCCATCTGAGGCGGTCCATTAATCCTGATACACTGCTCTTTGCCATAATGGATAACTGCACAGGCACAAAAGAAGAAATATGTCTTTTCGAAAAGGGAAACCCACTGTTTCAGCAGTGGACATATATTTTTTTCTCCCAAATGATCTTTTCTCATTTTTCTGTTTGTATTTGTATTTTTCAATTGCTTGATAGGCTTTCAGGGTTCCACTTAAATTGGCTTCCTTTGAATTACCTATGGCTATCTTCCTGCCAAAGAGCAATTTCACATACTGAGAACCATGGAACAAGGCTGTTAAGTGGATTAAATTGTAGAAATGTGCCATAAATGGATAAGAATGAACTCAAAGAGGTATGGCTAGCTTTGTCTTTCAACTTAAATAGCAACAAAAGAGGAAGGAAGTGAATGGAGCACAGAAGAAAACATGTTGCAATGGTTTGCTGTTACTTTAGCATCTATTCAGATTTCTTCAAATTGCATAAAAAGTACTCAATATTTGGTTCCAACTTAGCAACATCATGGAATCTATCATCACTCATCCCTCTCTTCCCAAGTTGTAGTTTCCTTCACGTCTTTCCTTTACATTGTACACATTGTCCCCCTCAAGCGGAATGTTTCGTTCCTCTTATAAACCTTGTTCATTGCTCAAAACTCAGTTTCGTAGCTGTAGCTGAAGATGCTAGAAATGACAGCCACTAAAATGGTGCTGTGAGAGAATGAGTGTATAGAGGGTGGGGTGGACCATACCTGTGTTGCTGAAGGATGAAAGGGTGAGATTAATGTTCTTCATTTTATCCACGAACTTTTAGAAGTTTCAATTACTATGAAACTATCATTATATCACTTAGAACTACAGAAAAATGGAATTGAAATATCTCTTTGCTTTTTAAACTGGCTTTTAAAAACTCAAACTAAAGCAAGTTTTTCAACTAAGAGTCATGTACCAACATATAATTCGTGTTAGAAAAGGTCAGTTTTCATCAAAAGTGTTTTAAGAATTGAGTACAGTCATAAAGACCAGATGAAAGAAAGTGAATTTCAGTCACAGGTATTGAAAGGAAAAAGCCAAACAATTGCAAGTTAAGAACTTTTTGAAGAGCACAGGATGAAGGAAGAATGAAATTCAAAATGATTTGAAATTCAAAATTAAATGCCTGAAAAGTTGTATAAAATTCTGCAGACCCTTATCTGTCACCATGCACTAAATTAAAATCCAAGTGGATTAAAGATCTAAATATAAAAACAAAACACTAAACTTGCTGGAAGATAAGTTAGGCAGAACTCTGGAAGACACTGGCATAGGAAAAGACTTTATGAACAAATCCTCAGTAGCACGGGAACTAGAAAGAATCAACAACTGGGATCTCATCTTATTAAAAAGCTTCTGCACTGCAAAAGAAACCATCAACAGAACTAAGAGACAACCTACAATGTAGGAAAAACTTTTTACCAGCTGCTCTTCAGACAAAGGACTATTATCTAGAATATAAAAAGAATTCAAAACAACCAGCACCCCCAAATATAAAGACCCAATTCTAAAATGGGTATCTGAAATGAACAGACATTTCTCGGACAAAGAAATAAAAGCAGCAAGTAAATATATAAAAAAATGCTCCACATCACTGGTCATTTGAGAGATGCAGATGAAAACAACACTGAGATTTCACCTCACCCCACAAAGAATGGCTGCTATCAAGAAATCACACAATAACAAATGTTGGCAGGGTTGTGGGGAGAAAGGAACCCTTCTCCATTGTTGGTGGGAGTGCAGACTAGTGTAGCCACTATGGAAGTCAATATGAAGATACCTCAAAGAACTAGGATTAGAGGTTCCATTTGGCCCAGCCATCCCTCTGTTGGGTATCTTTCCAAAAGAATTAAAAGAATCATACCACAGTGATATATGAACACTCATGTTTATAACGGCACAGTTTGTAATAGCTAAAACTTGGAAACAGCCCATCTGCCCATCAATTGGAAACTGGATAAAGAAGATGTAGTTTTTCTATAAAATGGAATACTACTCAGCCATAAAGAATGATAAAGCAGATTAATTCATAGGTAAATGGGTACATTTTGAGGATATACTTCTAAGTGAAATAAATAAGTCACACATATGCAAATACCAAATAGTTTCTCTAGTGTGAGAAACTAAAATAGTACTCAAGATACTAACGGGACCATTAGCAAATAGGAAGAAAAGGACCAAAGGTGTAGGGACAGTGAGAAGGATAGGGAATGGGGAATAAGGGGAAAGGAAAAAAATATGAGAAAATGTAAAACTGGAATTAAAGTGCTTGAAGTGGGGGAGGGGTGGAGGGGGTGAAGGGAGGATGGGGACAAAGGGAAAAAATGAGAACCAAGACCTGGCATGTAAAGGCACAAGATCCCAGTAATGTATGTAACTGTGCTGTCTACCTAGAATGTACCAATAAATTAAATTAAATAAAAAAATGAAAAAAAATTCTGTTGATCAAAAATTTAACCTTGAGGGCAGGCGTGGTAGCTGAGGCAGGAGAATCGCTGTGGGTTTGAGAACATCCTGGGCTACATAGTGAACTCCAGGTCAGTCTCAACCACATAATGAGACCCTGTCTCAAAAATCCAAAAAACAAACAGACAAAAAGTAGTCAGTTATGTCTTTAGGAACTATGTATAATGGAAACAGTCCAGCAGAGACAGAGATAGTTCCCTCATTTTGGATTATTTAACAATATTTGGCAACCAATGCATATATAGTCTATCATTTTCCTTCTAGCTTTTGACTCTGAAATTTTATTTTTTATTTGTGTTCTGGGGTAGTAGAGTTTAATGGTGGAAAACTCTTGTCCTGAACTCACACATATCTGGCCATTTTGCTTTTCCATTTACCACCTGTGTGGCCTTCAGAAAATGACTTATAACCTCTATGCCTCATGTTGTATTCTCTATGTTCTTGTCAAAGAGTATGTATCTCAGACAGCTCAGAAGTAATAATAATATATGGGACGCATTTAGTGAAATTTCTGAAATATGTAACCCATTCAGTAAATGCTATTTTTTACTGTTGTCAAGGCTGCACTGCCTCCATTGTTTTGACATGCTATGATCCTATTACTCACCATACTCTGAGAACTGAAACTTCTGGGTTACCTTTTTAAAATTATTCCTAAGAGATAGGACCTTTTCCACTTTCACCATAGATTTGGGGATCCTGTCTCATGAAGATTCTGTGGTAAACTATAACTTCTACCCCAACAACTTTTTCCTCAGTCTATATAATCTTAGATCCAGGAACTTTGTAATCTATGTAAAGATTTTCCTTTACATAGAAGGAAGGAGATATGGATCCTCAAAAGAACTGAGGAATGTGGCTATATGACTATAAAATATAAAGTAAATACTTTAGAACATAGGTGAGATTCCTTAGTCTGAAAACTACACTCTTCCATCTCTCAGTCCCCAAATCTGCTCTTTCTCTTTGGTGGCTCCATGTTATTAAATGACAGTATCAATCATCAAGCAATCAGATGCTGTGTCAAAAAGATAGATGCTATTTTTGTCATCTGTTTCCTTCAATCATAAATCCAGTCCAGTATCATCTCCTACCGGTCCTACTTCCAGTACATATCTTAAATATAACAGTTTCTCTCCAACTCTGTCATCATCATCTTAGTCCATTTCACTATCTTACCCTATAGCTGTTTCACACAGACTCCTAATGTTATACTCATTTCCTCTCTTGCCATGCTCTCCATTCTTTACACAATAGGCAAAAATATTTAAAAGACACAAATATGATGATATGACTTTATATTCAAAATCCTTCCTTAAATTCACTATGCACCTAAAATGTAAAATTCATAGCATGGTCATAAACTTTGCATGATTTGAACCTTGCTTCTTAATCTAGCATTTTTTTGTCACTTTCCCTCTACCTTTCACTGTATTTTGGTCACATTAAGCTTTTCTTGCAACTCACCGAGAACTATCCTACCTTAGTATTCTCCTCTTTGTGGGTTTTCTCATTCTACAGTTTTCCTACTTGAACATTTTACCCGAATATATCTGCAATCTCTTCTTTGTATAATGAATTACCTAAAGTCTCTCTTCCTCAGTAAATGATATGCTTCATGAAATGAAATTTGGGTTCTGTTTTCACTGCTATCTACCTGTCTTGCCAACAACAA